ATTCTTTTCAGATGGAACAATGACCTGATCTAACTTGTCATGACAAAATGAATAAGTGCCAATCACTCAGCTAATTGAACTTATTACAAATTAAATAATGAAGTGACAACATTAGCAAAAAATAAATGGCATCTATTTTGATTGAGACTTAAATAATCGATTTACAAAAAAAAAATAACAGAATTTATGGATTTCAAAGAAGAGAGCATCAATTTTACAATTTGAAAAGAAGCGGAAATGTCGCAGATGTTGGCAGCAATTGATTATGAAATATATATATTGGTAAGGTTTTTTTTCATGAAAATAAAAATTAAAGATTCATTGATGGATTAAAATGTCATTGGAAATTCTGATTAACGATTTTTCAATCCAAAATTGTAAGATGTATCAGCAAAAATGACATTTTAGAAATACGATGCAACATTTAACACCTCTAATGGACAATTTCCTTCCTTTAAATTTTAGCTAATCAATACAACAAGCGCATTTCGGATTCACCAATATACTGCTATAGCTTTGAAGAGCGAATCCGGAATTAAAGAACCGATACGGAATTCGAGGGAATCCGGAATAAAAAGCATACCAAAATAACAAACATAAATTACGTTCGTAATAACAGATTGATATTTATTCAATTACCAAACACAAATTATGAAAAAGCTAGGACAAGAGCCGATTCATTGTGGATGGAATTTGGAAAGATTCAAACTATAAAGAATCGATAAAGGAATCGAATTTTTGAAGGATCGTAGAAATTTTGAAAAGTGGAAAACTGATGCCAAAAATTGAGAAACGAGAAAATGTTCCTGTAAGCAAACTTTTTCAAAATTTCCTCCATACCATTCATAAGTGTTGTCAGTTTTTATATCAAATAATAATTGAAGTTTACAGAAATATCAATTTTCACTTTGTGATAATTTCAAAATGAAAAACTTTTCTTTCTACTAAAAACACTTTTCGCAATTTTCATGCAGTTCAACGAACTGAAATAAGTAAGAGGATTCTAGATGGATTCCAATAAAATTTTCTAAAATATATTTGTCATCAGACTTTTTCATGGTGTCCGATTGAAATATGAGTCAAGAAGCAACGATTAACGAATAATGTTTGAATTAAAATTGAAATAAAAATAAATTTGCATTTTCAATATATTTTAATTTCTTGTCAATAAAAATTAATTTATACATGCCATTGTTAAATTTGAGAAATCTTAAAACTTTCTTTTTTTCGTTTATATCCGTTGAAAAAATAAACATAATTTTAGTTTTTAAACCGATTTATGATTGCGTTATTCGTAAAAGATATGTATGCCACAAATGTTTGAATATAAATTTAAATTATAGTTTGAAAAATTTTTTCTTTCAATCATAGCGGCACCCATTTCATTGATGACATCATATCATTGAAATGTCTCTTTTTTCATCATCAAATCAATTTAATGCCAAATTTTATCTCTCTTTTTTCTTTGTTTTATTTATTTACATGCACATGCATACATATAAACTATAAAATAATAAACTTTTCGATTTATAATTTAAAAATTTATATTTTCACATACATTCCACGTCTCAATCATTTATGTATGTGTGTGTATGTGTGTGTGTATGTATGTATGTATGTGTATGCTATGCATATGTGTGTATGTGGTGTGTGTGTTCATGTGTGTATGCATAAGTCTGTTCGCCTGTCTGCGCTCTGCGTGCACGCTTGTCCACTAACTCACTTCAAGGATGTGCATCGGACTGCATACACACGCACATATGCCAGCATGAAATTATATTCTAAACTTTTTTCAGTATTTTTTTTTATAACAAACTTTTGAAGTATATTCATTTACGTGAATAAACGTATTAATTACGTTTATCGTAGCGTTCTATGTCATATAGCGTTTATGTCATGCGTCACCGTTATACAAATATATGTACGATTACGTTTATGCACGTGATATGTGATCACGTTTATGGACTATTTCATACGATTTGCACATAATTATACGTTTATAGTTATGTGTTATGCATTCACGTGTATTCACGTAATTACGACCCTTACATCTACTTTGCGTATTTGTATCGTCGCATGATATCTCTACCTATACTTCTATGTATGAGTGTGTGTAAATATGACATACATACGTAAATGTATGCAATGTGTACGTTCCCATTTACTGAAGCCGAAAAATCAGCGTAAAAGAGACGTAAATAGTGGAGATGAATGAATGGGAAGGAAACCAATGGGACACATCATCCATCTATTCAAGGGGACAAATGCGGTAGATAGATTGGATGAATGGGTATGTCTCGGACAGGTACAGCCAATCAGAGATAGCAATTTGGTAGGCGGTTCGTAAATCCTTCCACCATCTTCTCTTTCGTCACACTCTTCTTCTTCCACTTGCCTTGCCTTGCTCGTCTTTCTGTACCCATCCTACTTCTTTCGCATGTGTCGCACTATTGTTGGGCGGCATTGGACAATCACATCCTATCTTTTCAAAATCTTTTCAGTCTCTTACGTTTCAAATAGGTAAATATATTATATTAATCTATATGTATATCTTTTCATGTCTGTGTATGTATATGAATGTATGCGTATGTATGTGTGTATGTCTATGTGAGAGGGACACTGTAGTTGAAGCATATCGAATGCATTTGGCGCTGAATGGGTACGACAACTGCTGAAAATGTCTTCTTCGTCTTTATCATCATTGAGGGACAACAATAAGGACGTGCCTTCGCAAACGTATCATCAACCATCCTCACAAATTGCCAGTTTAAGCTTACCAATCACTAATAGAAGTTCTTCTACAGACTTATCAATATCAACTACAACAACCACTACAATAACAAGGACAACAACAGGAGCAACAGTATCCATAATTGGGATAGGAACCGAAACTGAAGCAGAAACAATAATTGGAACTGGAATAGGCCTAACATTACTGCCATCATCATCATCAGGATCATACATGGATATGGACCAAAAGCCACCAGCATTCCAGAATTATGGTACAAGAACATCTGGACCACCACCACCACAACAACAACAACCACCACCACCACAACCACCACCACCACCACCACCACCACCACCACCACCACCGCCACCACAACCACAATCTCTTTATAGTGTTGGTCCATCAAGTTGCTACAATCCGCTACAATCATCGACTAGTACAGCTGGTAGTAGTCATGATTTTACCCGTGGGACCGCTGCGCCAATGTCTTCATATTTTTATCAGAATTCATTTCCAACATCAGCATCAGCAGCAGTTGCTGTAGCTGCAGCTGCAACCGTATCTGGTACACCATATGGTACCGGTGCAACCGGTACCGCTCCCCATTTTATGTATCATCAACAATCAGCTAGCTCACCGGAAGGTAATTACGTTATAAAAAAACTGTCTAATTTACATAATATAGCGTGAAAAATAAACAAAAAAAGAGACGAAACAAAAGGAAGGATGCGATAATCTCTAATTTACACTATTTATATGAACAAATGATAATAGCAATAATAATCATTTAACAAGATGGTTATAAATTATGAAAATTACAGGTAGCGCCTTTCACTGATGATGATGTTGTGGTTGATGGTGGTGATGATAATGATGATAATGATGATCATTAGGGTAATTAGAGTAATAATGCCTTAGGATCTACCCACTACTCTCTCCCGCCCTCCCATTTCATTTCTAGTATGCTTCAATGTTTTCACTCCTCTGGACTGGGCCGGCTCAGCTCTAAACCTTTCTTGTTCCATAATTATTGGTTATTTATTCAAATTATAACCAACCAATCTAACCAATAACCAGCTACCTTCTGCTCTTTGTCACAGCCTAATCTTTAAGAGTAGAAGTGAGAAGAACTTCTGCATTCTTTGCTTCCTTTATCTTTCTTTTCTTTTTTATCTTCGAAATTTCGTTGGATTTTTTTTCCAATTTTATCAAAATTATCAAACTTTAATGTTAATTTATTGCCACTCATCCAATTATTTTAACTTTTGAAAGTTAAAGCACTTGCAACAGCAATGAATGAGCCATGTTTGGTTCATCTAATAAAGTTAACTTTCAAAGTAATCATTAAAAAATAATGTCAGGCAGTTAGGTTGACCAAAGTAAGCCAATGTTATCCTTATTATCGTCATTATCATTATCATTATCATTATTATTAATTTGTCTTTTTCAACTTCTTTGTCACTATTTTTCTAATCCCTTGTCACTACTGTTCTAATTCATATAGTTGCAAATTTCTCGGAATAATTTTGATAAATTTCAACTTAGATTATCAATTCTTACTTCTTTAATATGTCAGGCAGAAAAATTGAAACTGATGCCATTATCTGGTAAGAATCTCTAGAAATTTAATGAATTAATTATACCATAATTAACGGTAATTTATTCAAAATTATTTAGTTAATCTCGATCCATCAGAAAGTTTCTTGTTAATCAGAAAATTCTGGTAATTTCATTTTTCCTCTTTGCTTCCTTTCTTTTCCTGCAGTCATAAATTTATCATGATTATATATACCAACAAAAACATATTCAAATTTAATTATTCTTCAGTTTATCACTACTATTTATTAATTTGACGCCACTTTCATTTTCATTATACTATGTTGAAGTACTTCAATTTAAAAATTAATTAAATTCCTCTTAGATACTATAGTATAAAAGAAATAACAAAACATTCGATTAGCATTACTTCAATTAATTCATTTTTATCATTTGCATTATACACAAATAGATTGTTATTTGTATTTAGTATTTCAAGTCAAAATTAGGTAAAATATTGGAATTTCGTACCATCATTGCTTCAAATTTTTATTAAATAATTATAGTTTTAATTTTAAATTAAAATTAAAGAATTTTTTTGATATTTGTGATTTATTAAATGTTTACATTTCATTTCAGAGCATTCCACGAAAATTATCGAAGGTGGCGAAGTTAGGATTAATGGGAAAGGAAAACGAGTACGAAAACCCCGAACCATATATACTAGTTTACAATTGCAAGAATTACAGAAAAGGTTTCATAAGACGCAATATTTGGCGTTACCAGAACGTGCTGAACTTGCTTCCAGGTTGGGACTTACACAAACACAGGTAAATTTGTTAAGATTTCAAAACTGAATACCAAGTTTATTTCTCACCAAGTACTTTATTACGATTTTTGCAAAATATAACATAACGAGCAAGTTGATCAACAAAGTTGATTAACAATTATTTCAACGATATGGTCATTTTCACGTCAACAAGTCGGTTAATTTTTAAGAATAAATTAAGATTTTCTGAAATTTGTAAAAATATAAACATTTAATTTACTCAAATGATTTAGTGGCTTTTCTTTAATTCCATATATCAACTAATTCAATTAAACAAACATTAAGTAATGACTGTGACCCAATTAAACTTCAATTATTTCACTTATTTGAAGACAAATGCAAAGTCCAATATTTGCTACTTTGACATTTTTTCAACCTACTAATATATGCTTTCTTATAATTGTATTCCCAAAAAAATGGCCAATCAATTTTTTTTAAATTGCATGCTTATAATTTCATTGATTGTAACAATCTTTTTTGGCATAAGATATCGTATCTGATTTAGAATGATCAAAGTCTGACAAATTCTGATCCATTATTGATATAATTCACTTATCACATTCACCATTATAATTATTTGAAACTAGACTGATTTGACCTGAAATTTGACCTAATTTCCTTTTAACTTTAAAACTTTAATCACATAATTAGCGTTGAGTATGAATTGAAATGAAATCATCGTTTCTTTATTAAAGCTCATTGAGCTTCTTAAATATTGAAATCTCTTGGATAATCCTCGATCCGTCTAAACTTACCGCGGTTTATCTTCTGTCTCTTATCCGATCAATCCACACTTTAAATTTTTGATTACTGGGAGTAAATAAAACTTCTTTTCTTCCTTTCTCAACATTTCTTCTCCATGCATATACATATCCATGTCATTTACTTCAAAATTTATCAGAAATTTATGAACTTTTACTCAGTTAACTTCACAATGATCGATCATGGATCAATCACCCTCCAGTTTTCTATTTATTTAAAACGAAAAAAAAAGAACATGATAATTTGATTTTACTTTTCGGATTTTGATTAATCGATCATTATCGATGCATATTTACGGTAAATGTTAAAATGTAAATTAACAAATTCCAAATATCTTGAAAATGATTACTTTTCCGACAGTAGAAATTATTGTCCTAGTAATTTATCAGTTTATTGCTTGAATTTTAAATTACTTAGTAAAACTATTCAGAATTTAAAATTTGAAGAATTTCGAATTCTCTGTAGACTGTAAATCCATCCAATTTCATTCCATCCCTTGCTATCACAAACAAATTATTATCATATACCTATTGAAAAAGTTGTTATATTCATTTTTAACTTTTTCTTGAATTTTATCCGTCACGAAAAATTTTTTTTTCCAAAATATAATATAGTTTTATAATTTTGATATTTTTGAACGCATCAAATTATTTATCATAGCTAATTTCAACGAAATATAAATAGAATCGATCGTTTCGTTTTTCTTTCTTCATTTCATATTTAAATCTTTTTTTTTCGCACAGAAATTCTTGACGAAATACCGATTAAAAATTTTCACTAACTTATTGTATTATTCCGGTTTTATTTGGTAATTTGTCGATTTCGGAAAGAAAAGGAGAAAAAGTGAAATTTATTAATCGATGATAGACAAATGATATCGTTATCAATATCCATATCCTTTTTAAGTAACATATTTTTCTCATCCACGAACCAGTCAGTCAATCAGTTAATCATTCGTTCAATCATCCAGTCTCAGCTATTCATCCATTCATCCTATTTCATTCTCTTTTTTCTTCTCGTTTCTCTTCTCTTCTCTTTTTTTCATCCTTTTCGTCCTTTCCACTTTCCTCCTCCTCTCCTCTCTTTTCTTCCTATCAACAAACATTCTCATCATCATTAACAACATCCGATATTACGGTAGGAGTGAAAAAAAAAATGAAAAATGATGGACGGAATGAGTTTTATTTCGTTTCTTTTCATGAAGTTCACAACAATTCCTGAAAAGGGACCAGTTCTATTCAAACTTTTTTTTTCTTTCTCTTCTTTTCTGCTATAAATACGTAAAGTAAAGAGAATTTGTTTTATTGAATAAATCAAAAAGATAAAAAAAGAAAATTAAAAAAAAATTAATAACTACAATTCTGAAAGGCTAAAATGAAAAAAGGAACTCGAAAAAAATTTAATAATTTATTTCAAATTTTGCATAATTTCTCTACTCTTTTTTTTTCGTTTGAAAAAAGGAGAAGAAATTAAATGAGATTGTTTGAACAATAGGAATATTCTAGAATTTAGGATTCAGGACAGTTTCCTGTTAGATACATTCCCTTCCTTCCCCTCATTCCCGTTATTTAACAAGAAAATTGCAATATCAAAATTGCCACTGGCCAGTTATATGATTGATGGAGGCTAAAGTAAAGCTGACAGGATTTCTCGGCATATATTTCATCCGAACTTCCGCTCTTACCATCTCCTGATACTATCCTAGTAAGATATCACATTTACTCAAATCGATGAGAGTCTAATTATAAGATTAACCCTATTATATGTGTTTATAAATAACGGTGATATTACGCATATTCAAATAGTAATAATAATAACAGGCAGGTTTCTAGAAAATATTCTTTTGAATTTAGTTTTCGAATTTGAATTTGATCCTTCTTGAAATTTTAAAAAATCTAACAATTATTTCGTAATATGGTGGATTTACTTCGTCTATTTACTAAGCTATCAACAGATTATTATTTTCGTATTAACAAAACTTACAGACAAGGATGACCGACAGTGTTGTCACGATTGTCACTACTGATAAGTATGTGAAAATGGATCACTCTGATATCTCAAATATCTTTGGCATCATTTTTGATTCTGCTTTAAGATTATAATTCAAAATACTGAAAGAATGTAAAGTACTTTATTTCAATGGTAAAACCCTTCAACTAAAAGTTTTGTTAATTTCTTTTAGGAAATTATCTTCGGATCAAGTAAAGATATACAAATTGCATAATGTTTGAAATTTTACTATAATGAAGTAATTTGCGTTTAATTTATAAATGAACTATTTGAATTATTATCGTATTTAAAGATGCAAAATATTGATTGATTGATTGATTAATTAATTAATTAGTCAGCTGATCAGTTGTTATTTGAAATATTTCGGAAGATTTCATAATTTTGGTTAAAATTTAGAAAATCAATCGATAATTCTTGTATGCAACTTATAGATACAAAAATTAAATGTTACGCATTATATGGCATTTTTGTCACTTTTTCCAGCCCTTTTTAGCTCTTTGCAAAAAATTACATTCACCGGAATATGTTCAAAATATTCCTGAAAGTGAATTTTGAATTGAGTTCAAAGAGATATGAAGTGGGAAAGGGATTCCAATATCTTTTCAGAGATGGGCGGATAAAAACGGCGGGAGGAAGGAAGGATAGATAGGGGTAAGCATTAAAAAAAAAGGTTCCGTTATGGTTTCTAAGCCGGAACGGAATAGGTAATCAGTGGTTATACGGCAGATGCATTATGCATTATTATGGTGGCGTATCTTTGAAAAAAAAAAAATCTCTGTTTATGCGCACCTGTTATTGCAAGGTGATCGAAGAGATACAATAAAGAGAGAGAGAGGGAGGGAGAAAAAAAGAAGGGATGAATCTAGCAATATATGGTATCAGTGTCTCACCTGTTGCTTAAAAATATCTTACCTTTAATAACATTTCTTTTCAAAAAAAATAAAAATAAAATAAAAAAATAAAAATGGTGAATTTCGAAGAAAAAGAAATCACAACAAAATTTAGAAATTTGCATAAAGTTTTGAAATCTTAACAAATTAATTATTTAATGAATATGCAAAATTATATGGAGTATATCTGTATTTAATTAATTTCTAAAAGAGAAATGCTTCCGTTATTAAATCCTTTGTTTTTTCATTTTTAAATTGCAGGTTTAAGTTATTAACATTTTCATACCTTATAAGACATACCAGGGATATTCTATAATAGGAATTGATACTCAGTTTGCAAATTTCATCATTCAAAAGGATTTTTAATTCCTATTTTATTTAATATAATTTCAAACCACTATTTTATTACTCTTATTTTCTGTATTTTGATAAATTGATATTCAAATACGGAGGTCAAAGGTCGATCGATCTTTGCTACTATAGGTTGTCCATATTCTTTTTCTCATCTATTCTGTTTTTCTACTGTTTTGATTCTCATTTCTGAATTCTACTTTTTTTTCTATTTTTCTGTCTGATCGCGATAATGACAGGAAGTACGGTAGTTATCGTCTGCTTTTCATGTATTATGCATATGTGAAAGGTTGATGGATAAATCCGGAAAGGAAGTTGAGTATGTGTGTGTGTGTTGTGTATGTGTATGTGTATGTATGTATGTATGTATGTGTGTATGTATATGCATGTGTGTATGTGTATATGTGTGACGGTGTCTGAGCGGGTAGATGGATCGATGAGTCATTCTTTTCTTTTTTTGAATGTGTATTTTCTTCCCATTTACCCATTCATTTCGGTAAAAAATAAATAATGATTCATGTGATGAATTAATTAATTGATCCATAGCTAATTAATTGACTAATGGGTAGTGATAAACTAATGGAAGATGGAATGATTAGAAAGGAATTAATCAAACTTATTTAACTGATTATCACTTCTAATCTCTCCCTCTCTCTCTCTTTTTCTCCGTCTCTTTTATCTTGTGATGGAAAATTTTTGATGCACAATTTGAATTTTTTGGTAAGCAAAAAAAAAAACAGTAAAAAACCAACAAATTTTTTTTGATTTTTTTACCGAACTAAATTAACTTCAATTTCACTGTGCTTTTTTTTCCTTTGAAATTTTCAAAATGAATAATAAAAGTTCTTTTCTCTCCGCTTTCTTCTCCTGTCTAATTTTTGTACTTTTTATAACTACCGTAGTACTTTTGTCTGATGCCATTACGGAAAAGAAAGAAGTAAACAAATACTGTTACTAGCATGTTCATTCATTTCTTTTCCTTTTTTTTTTTTGAATTTCGCTTGATTTATTTTATTTATTTTCCTCTTGAATGGAACAAAAAATAGGAATTTTGAAGATTTTTTCAAAAATTTTCTGATAAATGATACTAAAAGAAAAGCAATTTTAATTGTTATTTCTTTATTTCTTTCTTTTAAGAATTTCCTTCAAAAAAGGAATTTGTAATTAATGATGGAAAGCTAATGAGTTAATGCAAAATGAGAAAATTTGTAAAAATCTGATATGCTAGCAGATTAATTTAAATCAATTTTACAGATATACTGTAATAAATAAATTTGTATTCGATTAAATTAGTTTATGAAAAAGGAAATGATTATGAAAAGGAATGAATTGAAACGAATTTTAGTTTTAAATGACAAAACGTAATCTATTTTGTATGATATTAATTAATCATGTTAACTCAATACATTAGTTGAAAAGAGAGGAAGAGATTTTGTTTGATTTGCGATCTTTCGATCGAAAAGCTATTTACTCTTATCAAGACGAAATTTATTTATTGAGTTTTAAAATTCTTTTAATTTCAGGTAAAAATATGGTTTCAAAATCGTCGTTCAAAACATAAAAAGATGTCTAAGAACGGATTTAGCAATGATCGGCAGGGAACAGATGATGAAGAAGGTGAAGAAGAGGAAAGTAGTTCAGTTGATGGAACAATAGCTTCACCTGCTCAACAACAACAACAACAACAACAGCAACAACAACAACAACAACAACAACAACAACATCAACATCAACAACAACAACATCAGCAGCAACAACAGCGGCAACAACAACAACAGGGTACCACATCACCGATATTGGAAGGTAGTTGGCCACCACTGCATCTTGGTACACATCCTGTTGGTACCGGTGGTCCATTATCACATATGTCACCAGCATCACTGCACCAATTATCACATCAGCAACCTACCCAGTTACCTCCTTTCGAAAAATATTGTGAACAGGTTGATGTAAAACCATACGTTTATGATCCAATGACGGGCTACCAATGGCAACAACCTAACAGTTATATGCCACCTAATTATTATAGTAGCATATGAAAATTAATTTTTTTGCTATTGGTATTGATTTATATAATTTTTGTGTACAGAATTATAGTTATTTTTAATCAAATTTACATACAATAGATATTTTAGTGCTGTTGTATGAGAAGAATTAAAATTCAGTCATTTAATTAAAAAATTTAGCAATGACGAAATTGGATTTAATTTTAATCTTTCTTTTATTCATTTCATTTCTTTTTTTTGAATAATTTATATGCTTTAAACGTTGTTTGAAAATGGTATGCTAAGAGAAAGGAAATATTTTGTCTGATTTTGATCCAAAAGGAATAAAATCTCACCTCAACTGATTTTTCATTTTTCATTTCTTTTCTTTCTTTGCCATTTATTTAGAATGTTTTGTTGCAAATGAAATAAATAATTTTGAGACGTGTCATTCCGCTTTGATTTCAACATTTTGAAAACGAGAATTTAATCCTCGGAATAAGTTTTGTTCGCTTTTGAATTTTAATTATTTCGACAACAACTTATAAATCCTTCTTTAGCCTAGCAAGAATCATTCCTTTCCCTCAAATTTATTATTGATAATAACAAATGTAACAGAAAATTCTTGCTCCAAAATATTTTCTTAATTATTATTTAGATATTAAGTAAACAATATTATTAATACACAATTATATTTACTATAATATATAGATTATTATTTAGATATTAAGTAAACAATATTATTAATACACAATTATATTTACTATAATATATAGAGTGACTGATGAGTTAATTAATTGATTTCCCGCATTATTTTGCGCATTCGAAAGATTTCCTAAAAAGGTTGAATTAACATCAATGTATATTTTATATATTAATATCTATTTCCTAATTCAATTTTAATATCAATTTCAATAAAAAGTAGAAGATAAGAAGTGAAAACATGGATCAGTAATGCATTATTATTCCTACCAACTACGATTGATTGATTGTTTTAATAAATGAAACTAAAATAAAAATAAAAACAAAAAGACATATTAACTTCTGACATTAACTGGAATGTTTTGATGAATTATCGACAAATTAATGAACAATTCTCAAGAATTATCCCTAGCTAAATTTTGAAAAAAAATTCATTCATGTCTACAATTAATGCAAATAAGTATTAAGAATTATTTAAGACAATCTAATGAAATGATAATAATAATGATAATGATAATGATAATGATGATGATAATGATGATGACTATGATTATGATTATGATTACGGTAATGGTAATAATGGTAATGACAATCATTGACCGTAACTGTTTTGTTATTAACGTATGTGTGCAAAGGTATTCAGATGCTCCTAAATTCTGTCAGCAACAAAAGAGTGTTTTAATGGTTTTAATCCGGTAGAATGTTAATGGAATAGTCCAAAATTTGCAATAAAACATCGATAATGATTGATGATGAAATAGCATGGTGATGTTGGTGACAATGATGATGATGATAATGACGATGCCGATGATGATGATAATAATAATGGTGACTATGATGATGACGATGACGATAAAGAATGAATGAAGTCAACTGATCCATTATATACAATACAATTGAGTGATCCATTATTATTCCCACCAGCTATAACTTATTGATCGTTTTATTTTTGGACGCTAAGGGTATGCATATTTAAATATTATTTATATATAACCTTTCATCTTCCCATCCTCTGACTCACTTCTCTTAACCTATTTTACAATATTTTATAGTTCAATTTCATTAAAAAAAAAAAATTCAAATTTAGGCAAAAAGGACAAACAATAACAAATGAAATAATTAATTAATTAATTAGCTTGTTGAAAAACCATTTAACATTAACAATAAAATCTTTGTAAGCAAAAAAGGAAAAATGAAAAGAAAATTTATCTGATAAAATTGATTTTCACAATTTTGTATAATTCTATTTGTCACAAAAACTAAAATTAAAAATTGAGACAATATAAATAAAACA